ACTGCCATTGAGCTGGCCCCTGACTCATAGCAACCCTATGTGTTACAGAGTAGAACTGCTCAGTAGGGTTTTCTTGTTTGTAATCTTTATGGGAGAAGTTTGCCAGGTCTTTCTTCCACAAAGCCGCTGGGTGGGTTCAAACTGACAACCTTAAGGTTAGTGACTGATTGCAAACCGCTTATGCCACTCAGTCTCCTATATTTATTTATTTATTTTTTGGCAGACAACTTGCAATGTTATGGACATTTCATTCTTGTCTCTCAGTTTTCTTGGCAATTCCTAAGCAGTCCCCAAGGAAGTGAAAACAATGCTGATTCACCAGACTTTTTTTACCTAGGTATTTTTTTTTTCCCCTGTGGGATATTATATAAATAGTGTTTTAAGTTCGAACTTTTGAACATAAACTAGTATTAAAAATCAAGATGTGTTTTTTCATTGCACAAAGATAATTGCTAATATATTCAATAATCACCCACAAAAATAATAAATGAGTTGGAAGAAAAGCTTATATATTATAAGATACTTTCACACTTAGGATATGCCAAGGTTAGGTAACATTGAAAGACAAATAATAGTAATAATAAAATATTTAAAAAGGAAGAAGTAACACACTAAATATTTTATTCTTAGATAACTTCAGATTTCTGCCCATACCTCTGCCAATGAGCACATGCGGTAAAGAATGTTCAATCTCCTTTTGTCGCCAGTAGAATATTTTTGTGGTTCAACATCTAGACTGTGACTAACAAGCTCTCATCAAAGTTATCTAATAGTCATGTCACAACGGATCAGCAATGCCAGTCGTGACACTGATGCATGCCACATGTAAAAATTTATAATGTCTGTGTTTCCTGGACATTCTGCCCCAACTTCTCGTCTAGCTAATTCAGAATTTAGGACGTTTATAAGCCAGATGGGAATTATACTATCCTCAAAAGCCCGGGAGATTTTTGTCCATATGTTTTTGGTTGTTCCATAGTGAGTCTCTATTTTCCCATGCGATGTTAATGAAAGGATGAGTGGCCTTCCGTTGGTGCTTACTCAGTCTTTGTCTTTCCTGTGAGTCATTATTGTTTTCCAGCTAGATGCTGTGGCCAGCCTAGCTTTCAATGTGTCATTTTCATTCATTTGGAAACTAAAGAGCTGTGCTTTGTACCAGGTTCTTAATGTCAGCAAAGCCAGCTCTGTTGGACTAAAATGCAGAGACATGTTTGCAGCTAGTGAGAAGGGCGGCAGGCTACCTCAGAGAAGCAGCTACACAGAGTGTGTTAAAGGCCTGCTTAAGTGCAGGACCCTGATGCTAGTAACATCTTGAGGTGGGCCAGTGGCAAGACAACTGCCTTTATCTTTGTGACTGGCAGATATAGAATGTGGCATGTAGGAGAAGTGAGGGCTGGTAGAAGTTATTGTAAAATAGTGATATAGTACTGTTATGGATTACATTGTGTCCCTCCCAGAATGTGTGTCAACTTGGCTAGGCCATGATTTCTAGTATTGTGTGGTTGTCCACCATTTTGTGATCTGATGTGATTATCACATGTGTTGGAAATCCTAACCTTTATGATGTTAATGAGGCAGGATTAGAGGCAGTTAGGTTAATGAGGCAGGACTCAATCTCCAGGATTAGGTTGTATCTTGAGTCAATCTCTTTTGAGATATAAAAGAGAGAATCGAGCAGAAAGGAGAAGGACCTCATTACCACCAAGAAACAAGAGCCGGGAGAATAACATGTCCTTTGGATCCGGGATCCCTGTGCTAAGAAGCTCCTAGACCAGGGGAAGATTGATGACAAAGACCTTCCCCCAGATCCCACAGAGAGGGAAAGCCTTCCCCTGGAGCTGGCACCCAGGATTTGGTCTTCTAGTCTCCTAAACTGTGAGAGAATAAATTTCTCTTTGTTAAAGCCATCCACTTGCGGTATTTCTGTTACAGCAGCACTAGACAACTGAGACAGGTACTTATCCCTGTCTTAGTCTGAGTTCTCTAGAGGAGTGAAACCAGTGGTGTGTATATATATATATATATATATAGAGAGAGAGAGAGAGAGAGAGAGAGAGAGAGAGAGAGAGAGAGATTTTCTTCAAGGAACTAGCCCATACTATTCAATTGTGGGGGCTGGCAAGTCCCAAATTCATAGGTCAGGTGGCAGGCTAGAGACCTCTTCTGACTAACAGTATTGCGGGAGCTGGCTAATCCAAAATCTGCAGGTCAGGTGGCAAGCTGAAGACTTCTGCAGGCTTCGTTCCTAAGAACTAGAGGTCAGGCAATGAGAAGAGTGCCAGATTGAGAGGAACAAGCTTTGCCAGAACATCCATTTATATACTGGAGGCAGAACAAATACAAGGAAACTCCCCTTTCAACTGATTGGCTGATTACATCAGATCACATTATGGGAAGTGATTACGTTATATTACATTCAGGAAGAGCAACCAGTCCAGTATCTGCCAAACCACTGAAAATCATAGCCTAGACCAGTTGACACATAACATTAACCATCACAATCCCTAAATCCCCTATTGGCTGGGCCACTTTGTAAGAGGTAAATGAGCTAATACATGTAAAGCATTTAGAACAATCCTTAGTTATTAAAACTATAGAAACTTTTTACTTATATTATCTCATTTAATCTTTACAAAAATTCTATTCAGATGAGGAAACTTGGTCCAGAGATGCTAAGTAACTTGTCCAAGTTCACACTGCAAGTCAGTTGGTGGAGTCAGGACTCAGACCCAATTCTGTTTGACATCCAAAACTCTTAACTAATACCAATGACTTCAAATACAACATCTAGAATTATATTCTATTAGTGATAGGAAGAGAAAGTGCTGTAGTTCAAAATGGGAAGGAAAAGCTAGGAATTAAAGTGAACCGCTCTAGGGTGATGCTCAGATAAAGGAAGGGACCCCTGCTACATAGCTTGGAAGTTCCAGAATGTTGTCACTCAAGCTGTGGCCTAGAAGCCATTTATACTCTGATAAGGGATTCTGTTGACTTTTACTGTCTTCAGTGTATTCACACCCTCCGCCAAATTACTTCACTATATAAACAAACCCACAGGTGTGGGAAAACTGAGTGTGTAATAATGTAGAGATGAAACAAGCAATTTTAAAAAAGTCAAGATATGATAATCCTTGGGGTAGTAACCATAATGATAGTGCCCTTATACGTATTCAGTAAATGTGTTATTAATGAAGGAACTTGGAGACTGGCCAAGAATGTTTTGTATGTAACGCACAAATTATATGCAAACAGAATTAAGGTCTTTCTGACGATGATAAAAGTAATTCATGGGTGCATAATTTTAACAGGTGTTTTGAAAAAATCTGGATCTTTCCAAGAAGAGGCATTGTTACATAAAGCAGGAGGATTTATTGCAGTGAATTCTAGGAGACCTAGGAGACTGCGGATAGCATAGCCCCAGGCATCTTGTGGTTTTCACAACATATTCTGCATTTAACTGTATTAACTTTGAAGGGCTGACTATCCTTAAGTGAGTAATCTTGCAAGGAGGCTAGGTTTGCCCAAGATGCTAAGGCACTGCTTTCTGGAGCACTCTAGAGTCTGTCATGAATATGAAGAGAAGGATGTCTCTGGACAAGGGGTGCCTCTAGGAAGCTGGTTGATCAACGGTTGAATGTAAAGTTGATCAGTGATTAACTTAGTGGGTAAAGAGTACACCTCAAAAAGATACCACTTTCCTAATTTCAGCCAGACTTTGTTTCTTTGACTCCCAAGCTTGGTTAGGTGCCTTTCCTATACTTTCCCACAGCACTTTGTGAATTATATTACTGTGGCCCCCACAGGACTTTATTGTGTGAGCTGGTTTACTTGGCTGTTTCTCCCACTGGAGGGATAGGGCTGCCTCATGTTCACTATCTCCATTGCTGAGCACGTTGCTGGGCACGTAGTAGGCACTTGATAGATAGTTGCTGAATGACTGAAGTTAAACCATAAAGGGATGAAACAGGGAGTTTAAAAGAGGGCGTGGGAGGAGAATGATCTCTAATTGCAGTTAGTACAATTGTCCACGAGTTGTTATTTAAAATTCCTTGCATTTGAACTCTAATGTATGTATTTTATATCTTTAAGAGGTTCAGCTCAGAGCCCATTTATTGGGCATTTACCATATGCTAGACCCTGTGTTACCAAACCAAAAGACCTGTTGCAGTTGAATGGATTCCAACTCAAAGCGACCCTATAAGACAGAATAGAAATACCCCATAGGGTTTCTAAGGAGCAACTGGTGGATTCAAACTGCTTACCTTTTGGTTAGCAGCCAAAGTCTGCTTAGATGGTGAACTCCATGATTGTTTATGTCTTGTTCCCAATCTCCTGGGTATAGTACAATACTTGGCACACAGTAGACCCTCAATACATTTTGTTGAATGAATAAAGAGGAAGTCTTAGAATTTACCACTAGAGAAGGCTAAGCCTAAGGAAAAAAGAGGGAAAGCTAAAAGGGATGGAGAATATGGACTTGTAAATTCAGAGACAGTAGCTAAGGGCTGGGGTGGCCATATTACCTGATAATGTCTAGACAGAGTTTTACTGTGAACAGTGCAAACAGAACCCAGAGAAGTCTGGGAGGCTGCAGTTTTGACTTGCCTTATTGGTGAGGGGGCAGCACACAATTTCTTTCAGGGTAGCCAACAGTTTCCTAGTCCTGTTTTATTTATTCATTTATTTTTAAAGAAATATCACACTTGAGACTTTATGTAAGGGATGGTCATTACTGATCCCAGTGATTGTTTTTTTTTAAATAAGAAATTGAATAACAAATATTATGAGTATTTCTTGCAAGTTGTTGATAAACATCTCATTTGACAATGTGTTTTTATCCAAGGCTAAAACATAGTATCTAGAAGAATCAAGGGACTGCATGTCAAAAGAGAGTTTCTAAACAATGCCCCTCTCAGTGAAGCTCTCCTTAGGAGCTAGGGGGGAGGTAGGTACTTCTGAGGTCGCCTTCTCTATACAGGGCCTGATGTCCCAGTGGCCTCTGTAGCTGGTTGAGATCAATATCTGCTCCGAAAATCAAAAAACAGTAGAGGTTAGATTGTCGTCTATTATTGATATATAAGATCTTTCAATGCACTCTTGGATAATCATTTCTGTCTCTACTTGGAAATGGATCAGAGAATCACAAGTACAGCATCTGGGAGACATGGAGAGTGGGGGAAGGAAACTCTTCCTCCCCACCCAACTTTTTTTGTTTGTTTTCACTCAGCTTTCTGGAATTAAAAAAAAAAAATTCAATAGAACCATCAAAGACAATGCTTTTAGATCTTGCATAATTAATACTGAGCCTCTCTTTCTGGCAATAGACTCAAGGACCAATTGTTTGTGAAGTCCATGCTCTGATTTGTAGTAAAACCATATTAATAGCATGTTAGAAGGATGTTTATCTTTTTATTATCCATGGTAGGGGAATCATTTAGGTCATCTAATGTAATTTCAAATTATCAACACATAAAAAGAATTGGGGCCATAACACAGAACACTGGAGGTTATCATCTGACTTATCAGGAGACCACTTGTACCTACTCTGGTTTTGTGTGGACATAAATAAGCACAGCCTATGCTGAACTCATACTGGCTGGCCCACAACCACTTCCTGCCTCCAGAAGGAAAGGGCAGTGACAGGGCATTGAGAGTCACAAACAATTGTAATGGAGGTGTCTGCTCTACTGTTTTCCCGCTGGAGTTGCTCCTGTGAACCATTGTCTGATTCTGAATCGAAGGTATGAGAGCTTCTCTTCTCCTGCCCCAGCTTGGTATCCAGTGGGTTATACATGTTCTGGAATAAGGCTTGGGGCTGCTGATTGTGGCCTAATGTCTTGGTGTGTGAGGACTCAAAGCACTAGCAGAGCAGTGATCCCTCTCCTCTTGGTGAGGGCTGTCTGAAGTCTAATGTTCCTTGTCTGCAGGAAACAGCCTGCAACAGCTTCTGAGCTCAAGAATAGTTCCCCAAACAGTAGCGCTCCTTCTTGTTCATTGTATAAATAAATTTATATAAAATATAAGTAACACATATTGTAAAGAATTCAAGCAACATATAAAAATTGAAAAAACAAAGTTAAATTCATCTAACATTTTACTGTACGAAAACCATCACTAACATTTTGGTGACCTTTTTTTTGTTTTTGTTTTTGTTTTATATCTTTTTTGGATTATACATAGGAATATATACAGTATATGACCCATGAGCCTTGTTAATACCTACTGAATGTCTTTTCATATCTTTATCTACACTTAAATAATTCTATATAGGTCTATCTACCTACTTGTCTATCTATCTATCCATCACATGTATATTGCTTCTTTAATTACTTTTTAAAAAATGGGAATGTATTGTACATACTTTTTTCTTTCTTTTACATCTTGCTTTTCTTCTTAAACAGTAGCTCACAAAATCCTTCCAGATCATCTTATGTAGCTCTGGATCATTCTTTTTAATGGCTATGTTATATTCCATGGGTGTTATGACAATTTATTTAGTTGTTCTTCCACTGATGGATTTTTCAGTTCTTGGGTCTTATATATGTCCCTACATACTGTCACTTTCATTTGCATAGAATAGATTCCTAGAAATGGGATTGATGAGTTGAAGAGTATATATATTTTTTTCTTAATTTTTGATAGATGCTGTTAGATTGCTTTCCAAAAAGACCATGACGCTTCAAATTTTCATCTGCTATATTTTAGTAATTTTCCCCTCTATTTTTCAAATGCAAATGTTACAGCTGTTTTTAGTTTTTGCAGTCTTTTGAGTATAAAGTAATATTTCATGGTTATTCTGCTTTGCATTTTCCTGACAATGAGTGAATTTGAACATATTTTTATATGGTTGTTGGCCATTTAGGAGCCCTGGTCGTACAGTGTTAAAGTGTTCTGCTGCTAACCAAAAGGTTGGAGGTTCGAATCCACCAGCCGCTTGATGGGAGTAAGATGTGGCAGTTTGCTTCTGTAAAGATTTCAGCCTTGAAAACCCTATGGGGCAGTTCTACTTTATCCTGTAGGGTTGCTATGAATCGGAATCGACTTGAGGGCCACGGGTTTGGTTTTTTGGTTTTGGTTGGCCATTTAGATTCTGCTTTTCTATAAGCTGTCTATTCATATTACTTGCTTATTTTTCTTACTAGTTTCTATTTTTTTCTTTTTTCTACCTACTTGAAAGATCTCCTTAAATTTAGTAAAAACAAACAAACAAACCCATTGCCGCTGAGTTGTTTCTGACTCATAGCTACCCTTCAGGACAGATTAGAACTGCCCCAGAGGAATTTCAAGGAGCAGCTGGTGGATTTGAACAACCGACCTTTTGGTTACTAGCTGAGCTCTTTAACCACTACGCCACAGGGCTCAAAAATTAAAATGGTCATTTTTAACATGGACTAAAATATCCATGTTATTTTAGTAATAAATAAAGAATAGTAATAAGTCAGGAAGGGTTACTACTACAAAGTCTATAACATTAACTTGTAAAGATGAAAAATAAGTGAAATTTACCCTAGACCCATTCCAGAGGTTGCTGTTCAGCAATATTTGGTGAAATTTATAGATTTGACAAGGGATTTTTCATTTAGGTTAAAATAACTGCAGAGAAGTGGCCTATACCACATGAAAACAATCATTCTGGGCCAACCTATGCTTGGGAAAGACTTTGGCAAGACTGCTGCTAGCCTTGACATTGCAGACTTCAGAGACAGTTACAATATCTATTAGAAGCAGGCATCTGAACGATCAGTGTGCATCCTTGCTGGAGAATAAACACAAAGGCATATCATGTTCATCTCATTAAAGAGCAGAATCAGGTGGCGGATAAACAGGTTGTTACTATATGATCTCAGGAGTTGAGTGACAGTCTACTTGACATGGATTTAAATTAGGTAGGCTGACTCTCTTTTTTTTCCTGCCTTTTTCTTTTCCAAGAAAAAAAAAAAAAGGCTCCCATTCTTGGAAATGAACCTGTTTTCTAGAATCTGGATTTCTCAGTGGAATAGCATATTAAAGTACACAAAATATTCTTGGTTTTAAGATGGCATCCTACCACATTTTAGGAGAGAAATCTTTGTCACTTACAGGAATGCTCCTGGGGACCTCCTGGACTTGGACAGGGAGAACCATGAGCCACAGGAAGCTCAGTGCTGAATGGGTCTTTACTGCTGGCTGCGTATCAGAATCAGAACTGGCCAGACTCTGCTCATCTGTGTCAGGTACATAAGGCAAAGCATGGCTGAACACTTGTTTGAGGTGAAGACTCTGTAGACCTTTTGAGACCAGCAGGGGCTCAGCAGGCACATAGGATCCCTATGTCCTGAGCTGGCCAGTGAGAAGAGTTCAGCAAATGAAGGCAGTAGAGAAGATTAGAGTTACGTGTTGGTAAGAGACAGACTAAAGCTCTAAGCCCAGAGAGAAGATCTGAGAGGAAAGGAAATGCATAGATAATGCTATTAGATGGATAGCAGAGAGAGAGAGAGGGAGGGAGGAAGAGCGAGACAAGCTCCTGCTCAAACACATCCTCCAGGGAATGTAAGTAGAAAAATTAACTGGTCAAAATTCTTTTAGTTTAGGAGAACCATGGACATGGGCTAGACCTCGATGATTTATTACATTGTTTTTAAAAACTCAAGTCTAACCAAAATGGCATCTTGCTTTTTTTTAGGGAGCTGAGCAGAGGGGTTCAACTGTCTGGCCTCAACATCCTCTCTGGACTGAAGGAGTCTGTTGTGAAAGAATGAGGCCTCTAGTTGGGGCGTGAGGCAGGTCACTCATTTTCCTGGGGCTTTCGGATTCACAGCAGACCCGGGCTGCTTAATGAGATTTTGGTCTAATTTTTAAGTAATCCAGCAAAAGAGCAACTGAATCTAATAGATATAGACATACACACACACATACACACATGTATATATGTCTGTGTGTGTGTGTGTGTCTGTGTCTGTGTATGTGTGTGTGTGTATATATATATATATACACATGTAAAGTAGTCTCCAAACTAAAACCGATAAAAACCTACACCCTTTTAGGGATAATTCCTGCCATAGCCTACTTCTCTTTGAAACATAAAACAAAACAAAGAGGAAGGAGACCTACTTAAGAATAGAATTTTTTATATCCAACTTGGAAAACAGATTAATTATATTAGTTATTGGAAAATTGAGGGACTGTATAGTTTGAAGGTTTTGTTGGATCCTTATTATGCCTCATTCTTGGGAGAATTGTTATAACATTTGAGACTCCCCCTTCTTAAAATAAGATTGGAGGCATTAGGTTATGGCCCCTTGATCAGCCTGGCACCTCCCTCCCATCCTGTTGTGTACTGATCCTCTGAAGGTCTTATTCCTATCCATTGATTTTATACAGTAGAGACCAGGGATTCTAGATCACAGAAATTCTAACAGATGGACATTACAGAGCACAGTGTGAGAAACAAGTACCATTCCAGATGTTTAAGTATGTATAGCTACAGTAAGAAGACTATTATTTAAGAAAGGAAATATAGCTGTTGGATCTCTTGAATTGTTTGGGTTAAAGTTTTTAGCTGGGAGTTCAGGATGGAAAATGGGGAGTGGCCGTTAACACCGGAAGAAATAGGGGAGCTACTAAGCAATGCTAAGAAATCAGAAGCAATACTAGTTAAAGCCAAAAAAAAAAAAAAGTACAAAACAAGAATATAGTTTTTATAAGAAGTAGTAAAAGAATTAAAATTGACTAGAAAATGATACAAAATATAGGCTTTTAAATATTATCAAAATTTAAAAAATAAAATTTTAATTGAAAGAAAAAATAGGCTCAACATAATAAAGATAAAATAAACCTATCTAACCAAAGAAGACACTTAAAAAATAAATATAATGATACAGCATGTTCAAAATAACTCAAATAAGCTAAGATTGAGAAATTAAAAAAGTAAAACACACTGAGCTAAAGATGAAATAAAAATGGATAATTGACATTTTTGGGTTTAACATCTCCATGTGGGAACAAACCTCCATGGCTTTCAAGATGAGGCCACCAGTAAATTTAGAGAGAGTTGAAGGCCAAGAGCAAGGACCTGTGGTCACTTGGCTGCCCCTTGCACTGCTGGTTCCCATCCATGCCCCACTTGGTTAAGCACTCTTTGTGGTGTGAGACAGCTGTTTCTACTCTAGACAGTAGCTCTGCATATCCCAGACTGGCTCACCAACAAGTAGCCATAGAACCCTTGACAATGTTGCCCAAGGTAGGCATGGAGGACATGCTTGCAGATGCCAAGGAAAGGCATGGGGCAAAGGAAGTGCATGATACTTTTAAATGTTCTGGGTTTAAACATATTTAATAGAGTGATGTTAGCACTGTGGGCATGTAATTCACTTTAACCATTTACATGTTGTACCGTGGAGTTGTGTTACCCAGCTGGTAAAATCCAGTGGGGGAACTGAGTGTACAGTAAACATGTTTTCCTGTAGTGGAACTGTAGGCTGAGCTATCAGCAGAAAAAAGAGGGTTGAAAAATCCCAGGAAAAATCTTTGGAGGAAACATGCTGCCTCTGAAGCCCTTAGTGTGGGGCCTGAGACAGATACTACAAGGATGTTCTCTGGGCTAGTATTTCACACTGGCCCAGCTTCGCACACGTGCTTTACATTATAGCATTTAACTCCTAATGCAAAGACCTAAATTGAAATGACTTTCACTAATAAAGAGGTATTTGCCTGACTAAAATCTCAATAGAATTTGGAGAATTGACTTACAGTTTTCATTGCTTCCTAGAAATGTGCCAAGTCATGTCAATTTGTTTGTTCATGCGGTTGTACTCAGCTGGCTTTACATATGCTCTATGTATAAAAATCTTTTCTGGTCTTTTTTTTTTTCTCCTGGAACCAAATCTACAGCCAAGATTTTTGTTTTACGTGTATTTTTAAAAAAAATTTTAATGTTCTTTAAATGAAAGTTTACAGCACAGATTAGTTTCTTATGATATTGGTTGCAGTTCCTACAATGTGTCAGCACTCTCACCCTTTCCCTTGCCACCCCGGGGTTCCCCATGTCCATTTGTCCAGTTTTCCTGTCCCTTTCTGCTTCTTGTCTTTGCTTTGGGGCAGGTATTGCCCATTTGGTCTCATATACGTGATTGAACTAAGGAGCAATTTCCTCACATGTGTTATTGTTTGTTTTATAGGCCTGTCTAATCTTTGGCTGAAAGGTGGACTTCAGGAGTGACTTCGGTTCTAAGTTAGCAGGGTATCCGCTTCCATAGACTCAGGGGTTCCTCCAGTCTCTGTCAGACCAGTAAGTCTGGTCTTTTTTTGTGAATTTGAATTTTGTTCTACATTTTTCTCCCCCTCTGTCTGAGACCCTCTACTGTGATCCCGGTCAGAGCAGTCAGTGGGGTGGAGGCTGTGGTTCCTGTGGTACTTTGGACTAATATTTTCCTTGTGTCTTCGGTTTTCTCCATTCTTCTTTGCTGAGGAAGGGATGGGACCAACATATGTATCTTAAGTGGTCACTTGCAAGCTTTTAAGACCCCAGATGCTACTCACCAAAGTAGAATGTAGAACATTTTCTTTATGAACTATGTTATGCCAATTGACCTAGATGTTCCCCGAGACCATGGTCCCCAGCCCTCGGCCCCAGTAATTCATCTCTCAAGGTGTTTGGATGTGTCTAGGAAGCTTCTATGACTTTGCCTTGGTCAAGTTGTGCTGACTTCCCCTATATTGTATGTTTTCTTTCCCTTCACCAAAATTAACACTTGTGTACTATCTAGTTAGTGATTTCCCCTCCCCACCTCCCCCTCCCTTCCCTCATAACCATCAAAAATTTTTTTCTTTGTATAAACCTTTTCTTGGGTTTTTATAATAGTGGTCTCATACAATATTTGTTCTTTTGTGATTGACTTTTTTCATTCAGCATAATGCCCTCCAGATTCATCCATGTTGTGACATGTTTTACAGATTTATCATTGCTCTTTACCATTGCACAGTATTCCATTGTGTGTATGTACCATAATTTGTTTGTCTATCCTTCTACTGATGGGCATTTAGGTTGTTTCCGTCTTTTACCTATTGTGAATAATGCTGCAGTGAAGATGGGTGTGCATATTATTTCTGTAGGATATATTCCTAGGAGTGAGATTGCTAGACTGTATGTCATTTCTCTTTCTAGCTTTTAAAGGAGGTGCCATATCATTTTACATAGTGGTTGTACCATTTTACATTTCCCCTAGCAGTGTGTAAGAGTTCCAATCTCCCTGCAGCCTCTCCAACATTTGTTATTTTCTGTTTTTTTGATTAGTGCCAGTAATGTCGGGATGAAATGGTATCTGTCTTAGGCTGGGTTCTCTAGAGCAGAAAAACCAGTAAAGCTTATAAGTATATATATATATAGATATATATATATATAGATAGATAGATAGATTTATATTAAGGAAACAGATCACGTGACTGTAGAGGCTAAAACGTCCCAAGTCTGTGGATCAGGGTAGAGGCCTCTCCCAATTCACACAGATTCAAAAGCTGGTGAACCCAAGGTTGGCAGGTCGTAGACCAGGGCTCCTGCTCACAGGCTGTGAAGGTCAACGAATTCCAAGATCAGCAGACAAGACTGCAACTTTTCTCCTGATTCACATAGCTGCAGGGGCTGGCGAACCCAAGATCAGCAGGTCGGGGAACAGGACTCTTGCTCACAGGCTGTGAAGATGGACGAATTCCAAGATCGACAGGTAAGCTGCTAGCTCAAGTCCCAAGAACCAGAGGTGAGACAACAAGGGGCAGCTGCTGAGTCTGGAACAAGCCATAAAACTTTGGCAAGACAAGCAGGCAGAAAGTAACCATGGAAGTCAGAGAGATGAAGCTGAGAGGGTGGCGAGCTGCCACAGGCCCCACCCTCGCCAGTACCACTCAGCAGATTCCATCATGGGGGTGAGCACGTCAAATTTCAACAGGGAAGCGATCACAACATTATACAACTGCTAAAACACTGAGAATCATGGCTTAGCCAAGCTGACATACAATCTTAACCATCACAATATCTCATTGTAGTTTAGATTTGCATTTCTTTAATGGCTAATGATTGTGAGCATTTCCTCATGTGTCTGTTAGATGCCTGAATGTTTTCTTTCGTGAAGTGTCTGTTCGTATTCTTTGCCCATTTTCAACTGGATTATTTTTGTTTTTGTTATTGAGATATTGAAGTATTCTATAGATTTTAGAGATTAGGCCCTTGTCAGATATATTA